GAGAGAGAGAGAGAGAGAGAAGAGAGAGAGAGAGAGAGAGAGAGAGAGAGAGAGAGAGAGATACCGCATATTTTGATGGGTGCCTCAAGCTCGAGGAGGTTGGGCTGTTGCATGAAAATGTCTTTGGAGACGACACAGAGCTGACGGATCTCGGACTCAGAGAGCTGGACCTGCTTTCCTGACCTTGTTCCTCTCACCTCAAGAAGCCTAGCAATGATATCATCGAGTACCACAGGATCCATTCGCCCACTCTCTCTCTTTCTCTCTCTAGACCTCACATGCCCGCACAGATCCCACTCTATCAGAGAAACCTATCAATCCACAGGGGTTGAGAGATGGAGATGGATGGGGAAAGATATCAGAAGAGAGAGAAAGTAGAGAGATGGAGATGGATGGGGAAAGATATCAGAAGAGAGAGAAAGTAGAGAGAGAGAGAAGGGTTCGCGTCCGTCGGCTGCCGATGGTCCCCTTTATTTTAATTTATTCACATTCGCCTTTTGCCCTCCCATGAGAACTTTTCAAACATTCTCAAAGAGGGTTGCAGATTTATAGAAAGAAGAATCTTTCTCCAATAAAAGAGAGGGGATGAAACGCGACGGTACAGAGAGAGAGAGAGAGAGAGAGAGAAAGGGAGAGGGTTTGAGATATTGCCGAGAGAGAGAGAGAGTGAGGGGAGGAGATTGAGACGCGATTTAGAGAGAGAAAGATTGAGAGATGCTTCTTTCTCTCTCTATGAGGCGTGGGACGGCAGGATGTTCCTAGTACAAGGCTTATGGGCTTCGTGAGAAGGGCACAAGGGCTCGTACCCGGCTGGGCCGTTTTAAGGCGCTAGCGCAGGGCCCATGGCCGAGCAATGTACGCTGCACCAAGTCCCAACCCAGCCTGCGTGCTTTATATGATTTCTCGAGCCCGGCCCAAAAGGTGTTCAGCCCGATGGCTTGTGCCTGGCCCATTCTTGATGAAAGCCCTAAGCTGCCAAGCGTGCTGAGCCGGGTTCAGTCCAAATTTCTATTCTAAGAATGGGCCGAGCTCTCACCCAAACATTTCAGGCTAAGCTAGGCCTTTGGGACATTTTAGTTTGGAACATTTTAGTTTGGATCATTGGATTTGGGCTGCCAGGATTACCGTTTGACGGCAATGATCCAAACTAAAATTCTAATATTGGAATCCCGATCATGTAATTAGCCAATCATAAGTGAGTTTGAACAATGAAACAAGCAACAAGCATGAGAAATACCACATAAAAATACACCCATTACATGAACAAAAAGATTTACATAGTTCACCTTAAAGGATCGCTTGAGCGCATAGATTATGGAGAATAGATTTTTAATATCTTAAATATTATTAAAATCCATTGTTTAGTTTGCTCAATGGCAACGATACGAAGATTCTATGAAAATTAAATCTTAAAAAATTACTTAACTTTTTCACGATTTCATTTCCACTCCAAAATATGTTCTTTTGACTTTCCAAGGCCCGTGGATTTTACTCGTAGGCCTCTCGACCTAAAACTTAGGGCATGTTTGGTAGTTATGAAAAAATTTTCATGTGAAAATCATATTATGCACGTTTGGTATGCGGCAAATACAAAGAACTATCTCACCCAGAAAAAAAAATACGAAGAACTATATCAAATATTAGGGAGAGAATGTATCTAAGAAAATTTTAGAAAGACAAACTATCTCGAAATTTGTAGAGAGAGAAACTATCCCAAATTTTAAGTTTTAGAGAAAAAGTATATTAAAATTTTAAAAAGAGAAAGTACCAAAAAGTTAGAGAGATAAACTATCTCAAATTTTTAGTTTTAGAGAGAGATAGAATCTTAAAACTTTAAACTGAAAAACTATATCAAATTTTAGAGAGAGAAAGTAGCTGAAATTGTTACAGAGAAAAACAATTTTAAAATTTTTGAAAAGAGAAACTTTATCAAATTTTAAATTTTAGAGAGAAGTATTTTAAAATTTTAGAGAGAGAACTATCAAATTTAAAAACAAACTACCTAAAAATTTTAGATAGAGAAATATCTCAAATTTTGAGCTTTAGAGAGAGATAATATATTAAAACTTTAAAGAGAAACCATATCAAATTTCACAAAGATACCATCTGAAATTTTTAGAGAGAGTAACTATCTCAAAAATTTTAGAGATAAATTATATCGAATTTTAAATTTTAGAGAGAGAAAGTATATTAAAATTTTAGAAAGAGAAACTATATTAAATTTAGAAGGAGAGAGACTGCGTGAAAATTTTTAGAGAAAGAAACTATCTCAAAATTTTTAGAAAGAGACTATCTCAATTTTTGAGTTCTAGAGAGAGAAAGTAAAAATTTTAAAGAGTAAAATTATATCAAATTTTGTTACCAAACAATGAATATGGAAATGATGGTAAGGAATAGGACCGAGAATTTTTTGGATAGTCCGAAACCACCCAGATACGGATCTGGATCCAAAGTTTTGGATCAATCCAGAATATGCGGATCTAGATTCGAATCTCAATTCCAATTTTGTATATTCTAAAATTTAAATATATTTTATAATAATTATATATATTATATATACGGTATGTTTGATGACCCCGATTATCTTGATATTTCAAGATTTTAGAAAATTCAGATTTCCTATAGTCTGGTAAGCTAGAAAATGCTTTTGATGGCACCAAACCAAAGCTAAAAATATTCAAATAAGACCCTTAGATCACGATCCTCCAAAAAAAAAAAAAAAAAGCAAGTTCCACTTGAATTTTTTGCGATACTGATAAACACTAACTTGCGGGTTAGTGTTGTATTGTAATCTCTGCTTGGAATGATCTCTTGCCCTGCCTCAACTTGGGGCTTCTTTTATATCATGGGTTTCTAGGTTTTTATCCTTTAACTTGGCGTTTGAGTGTTTGATTACAGGTGCAATGCAATTTGCAAAATCATTTCTAATTTATGAGTTTCCTTTCACTTCGTGAGATTCTCTTGGTCGTGCCTCTTACGACAGAGTTTTGCAAGTTCTCATGATTTAGGGTAGGTGCCCTACGCTTATCGGTTGCATCTTCCTGTTTTACTTCAGGAGCTGATAACTTCTCTTTAAGCACATTGGCAGAGATTCAGAATTACCATAGACAGTCAAACACAGCTAAAAAACCACCAATTAATATAATATACAATCTTGATATGTGGAAAGCCAACGCGGCCTATATACAGATTTTTTTTAAATTTGAATAGTTAAATACTATTTCATCAAACATACCCATATAAATTAATAAATATACAAAGTATATATATATATATATATATATATATATATATTAATTTAAAACAAGTT